CCCGCTGGCTTGCGGGAAGGGAGGTGAGACAGATGTGAGCGGCGTGGAAAACAAATGTCTCTGGATCTGTTTCTGAGACATTTGGTGTTGGGGAAGGAAACAGAAGCGTGCAGACAAGCTGACCGATGGGACGTTGTAGCACAAGGAAGAACCTTAAGACTTTTGAAATTGAGGGTTTTGATGAGGGAAGCTGGCTTCCTTCCATACTTTCTCATTTAAAGGAGTTCCACATGTCCTGGGGGAGACTAACCTCAACAGTACTACTGTTAAGTAGTACCTGTGTGTTTTTTGTTAGTGTGGTGACACATTAATTTTCTGCAATAAGCAGTTCAAACAAAACTTTAAATATTATTACTATTGTTTTGGAGTGGGATTTGTCCCCAGGTATGGTTGAGCTTTAATGAATTATGACTTTTAGTGACATCCATCATAGTTGTAAGTTATTTCACAAAAAGTCAATTACAGTTACAGAGTTCCTATAGCTGCGTATTTGGGAGGGATGAACACCTGCTGGGGTTTTTTTTCCCGTTCATGATACATTTTTTGAGTTGCAGTATATGTTAAGAGGAAGTGTCACAGTTACAAGTTTATTTATTACCTGTGTGATAGGAATTTCTGTGGTTTAAGGTGCAAAAAGCATTTAGCTCCTCCCCCCTTAGTATTTCTTGGGATGTTGTTAAATTGGGAGGAGGGAGAAGCAAGGAGAAACGCTTGCTGGTTTACATTGCTTCTGAATCACAGAGGTGGGAATTTCACGTTTTTAAACAAGAGTTATGTAAGTTTAAAGATGTCTAATACATGTTTTGATTTTTCTCAGAATGCATGAGATAAGGATAAATATCTGTCTTGTCTTAGACTCTGCATGTGCAAGGAATGTGGTGGTTTTGGTGTGTGGTTCCCCCCCGCCCCCCCCCTGAAAAATAGTGGTGTATAGGTAAGCTGTGCACATCAGGAGGAAATTGTGAATTCAGGAATTTTCATGACATTTTAAATATCATTATTCAGTTAAGTGTTCAGCTACACAAGTTTTTTTTATTCTGAACTCCAGAAGGAGCTGTTCATCTTTGGAAATAGGAAAGAAATGGCTTGAGCCGTGCTGGTCCAGGTAGAATAGGTAAGGGGATTGTTTTGGTTTCTTTCTTAAGGTGAGAAAGATTGAGGGAGAGTGAGGTTGCCTCATTCTGTTTAATCAAGTTCAGATTACTTTCTTCCTCTTCAAATGAGCAAATTTTCCGTTTTAGGCTGAAAGAATTGACTGTAACCATAGGAATCTGTGTCTAAGCTGTTGTTTGTTTTGTTGTTTCAGAAACGGGGCCTTGTCTCTTCTTCCCCGTCCTCCTTTTACAATTTGGAAAGTGGAGAGCTGTCCTGTGTCTGAGGGCTTAGGGTTGAGCCATCAGTCTTGCAGGAACTGCTGCTGTTTTCTCTGCTTCTGCGTTTATTCCTGAAGTTTATAAGACCATAATTAAATGCAGCTTCTCTGAAAGGGATGTTTTCAGAGATTCCTATAGTCTACTGATGACTTCATAAAAAAAACTTAGCACTGTTAAAACATAAAGATGTGTTTCAGTTTGACTTCCTGCATCACCTAAAGGTTAAAATTGCAATGCTTACGTCTTTTAAAAGACAGGGAATGCAGATGAGGTTCAGATAACAACATTAATTCATCTGCTTTACCGCTTCTTTGCTTTCAGGTGAAATGGATATGCCGATGTCATTTCCTGTAAAATTAGACATATATCAACATGTAGCGTTCTCAGTGTAAGCGTGTTGTACTCATACCAAAGTTCAGGATTTTGTGTCTCATTTCATCAGTTTTAGATATGGAAGGCTATCAATACAAGCTTACCTGTTTACCCTTTGTAAACTGCATCTAATGGAGATCAAAAAATACATGGAAGATGCAGTGAAATACGAGATAGAAGTAGGTTGTTTTGAAGGTGTGGAAGCAGTGTGTGTGATAGCTGAGCATTTATTGGCAGTTCTAGTGAAACGTTGGTTGTGTATTGTAAAGCCTTTTGTTGAGCTTAAGTTCTTACTTTAAAGTTTGATATGATTAAAGCCTTGAATCTTAACAAAAATTAAATCCCAATCACTGTATATTTCAGTATCACAGCTCATGCTTAGATGATCAGTTCTAGTTTTGGCATAAAGGCTTTCTGTTTTGTATGCAGGAGGAAATCATTAGTGTCATATATTTTAGTCTCTGCTTACTGTCATATCCATAGCAAAGTATATTTCTGGAACGGTAACTTTATTGATTCATGCATTCGTGCTTTAGTGTACCATCTATACAAAACAAGTTCATGTGGAAACAGCAGTTGCCTAAGAGTTCTGAGGCTGTTCTGCAGCACAGGAAAGCTCAGCTCAGCATTGACTACCCATACTTCGTGTAAGGCTTTGAGATCTGTGATGATTCCTTCAAGGTAAATTTAGTGTTTTTGGAAAGCGTGGAGGGGTGAGGAGCTGTTACAGACCGATGACTGTGAGCAGTCATCCATGATAGGAATGCAGCTTCTCCAAATGTATGTTCTGTATATAAAATATGATTTGATGGTATTAGCTATTTATGATGTGTTACCCTTTTGGTTTTTTAATGCCAAAGAACCAAGTTGTTTTGCATCTAGATAGAATCTCAGAACTTAATCTTCCAGGGATTGAGAGAGGAAGGACTTAAGTGTTACTTGTTCTGGAAGAATATTCGTAATGGAAAGTTATCTGTAAGAGTGGGGTTTGGGAGAAGGGCTTGTGTTTGTCTGACTTGTTCTGGAAGAATATTCGTAATGGAAGGTCATCTGTAAGAGTGGGGTTTGGGAGAAGGGGTCGTGTTTGTCTAGGGTTGTGTGTGTGGGCATCACTCATAAAGTGTCTAATGCATGTGAACTTTAATGGTCTCAAAGAACTCACGTATATGAAGGAATTTGCTAGTTTTTGGTATGTAAGCCAGAATCTGCTGGATTTTATTCTCAGCCTTTTTACTAGGAATTGTCTGCCTAAAGGAATTTGCTTACATAATTGTTTATTACAGTTATACTGATACTTCTCTATCAGTAAATAATTTCTTGCAGAAGAGGAACAAGTGAATGTAGAAGTATTAATGATACAGAACTGTCATTGTCTTTATGTAGGAAAGCCATGAATTTGTTCCCAAACTCTGGAAGAGCTAACCATTGTTCTTGTCAGCTTAGTCAGCTTTGAGGTGAAGGATACTGCTTGCCCACCTCCAAGAGATTTCAAGGATTAGTGAATTTGAGATGAAGTGGAAAGTTCTAAGTGTCTGCCTGCGTTTGTTCTAGTGTCTTATCAAAATGTGAGACCCAAAGAGCTTTGGGCCACAGGCTATGGCTAACCCTGCCACAATACTTTGACAGTAACATTGGTCTGTGTTACGTCGTCTTGGTAGCGGAGTTGTCAGAATAATTTGGCAAAAAGGAGTAAGTGCTTGTTACTTGCATAGGTAAATATCCATACTAAACTGGCTGTTGCTCTGCTTCTGCAAACACGGAAGGTATTTCCTTGTTAGTTCTGACTTGTGCTAAGTGCAGCGCTCTGCTAAGCCACGGATGAGTAATGCCATTTGAAGCATATCACCTCTGTTTTGGTCCTTTAATGGCTCTGTGATGCCACAGCCATTTCTTGGCCCTTTCTATTCTTACTCATCATTGATTGCTTAAGACCAAATGTAAGTGCAGCTGACTGGCATCTCCAGCTTGTCAACGCAGAGGTACCACACAGTGAAGCTGAGCCAGAATGATACCTTTCAAGATAGCTGCAGGAGTCTCTCAAGTAATGTTTTTCTATTGAAGCAAAATCAGTTGAAGAGCAAAACGGAACAAGTATGAGAAAGGGAGAAAATTGCTGCAGACACACTAGTCTGAACCACTGCAAGTATTTCTCTGCAGGCTGCCTCTTAGGAGAGAATGTCAAGGAATTCACTAGGTACCATAGCATCCAGAGCTAGTTAGGAGAAAATTGCTGCAACTTTTCAATGTGTGTGGTTTTTGTTGTTGTGTTTTTTCATCTATAAATAATTAGTACAATGCGTGACACATATTTAGGCTGCGTATTTTAATAGTGGTCACTGTAATTCTTGTAACCATCAGCTCGTAAGAGAAGGCTTTTCCTAGCAGTGCTGCTTCATAAAATAATTTAAATTATTTCTGGTGTTGTGGTTTTGTGGTTTGTTTTTTTCTGCATCATACTTCTGGCTCTGATAACTTTTCCTTTGCTCCTTTTGCTGCTACTTGTTTCAAAACTGTTACAGGCCAGTTTGCGTAATTTTTGAGCTGATAAAAGATGTTTTACAACTCTTTTTGCAGCATAATATGGTCAGACCGTTGTTATTGTGCTCTCTGTATCTTAGGAAATTGCCTAATCCATCCCTGAATTTTTTTTGGGGGGAGTGCCTTTTCGCTGCCCTAATGCTTGGATGTGAGCAATGAGAAAATGAAGGCAAAAGAGAACATAGAGAGAAATTATATTTCTATTGACTAGTACAGGAGTTCATCCCAGAAACCGCTCCCTTGAAACAACTTGATATTAAAACCAGTGATAGTGAGACTCTGAGAGAAGAGGGCAGATTCTGAAACCAGATTCTTGCTTCCTGACAAGAAACAATTTAGTGTTTCATAACTGTTTTTGATAAATTGCTTCAGATAGGTGCCACGGTGTCCTGCTTCATGGGAGAGTATTCAAATTATATAAGAATAAAGATTTTTTGTTTGTTTGTTTGTTTATTTGTTTTCTTGTGTCCATGGCTTGTTAGTAGAAAGTTTGATTATTTTTCTGTGTAATCTGTAAAGCAGTCAGTCCAATTTTAACTTCCATAGCCTAATTTGCAGTCTGGCAGTTAGCGTGGAAAAATAAATCAGACCATTCTAATTTGATCGACTAGTGTCACAGGCATTTCAGTGAGGTGTTAGGGTAGAGCAGGTTTTGGGTCGCTTTCCTTGCCCTCATTTGTTAAAATACTTCACAGTGCATCTTAGGAAATAATACGTCACAAGTATTTGTCCACAGTATATGTGAGAGTATTAGAACTAGGTTGTGATACCCAGTAGCAATGGTTGGACTTGCTAAATATTAGAAACTGGTAAAAGAGATACTAGAAGAATGCACACACTAGTTTTGGATTGACACTTAAGTTAGCTAATGGCAGTCACATCTAGGGGAAAGGTTTGTTGAAGAATTAATGATTAAAGGTTGCTTATGAAGTTAAGGGTGAAGGTGTTTCTGACTTTATCTTTTTGGCTGTTCAGGTGGATGGACAGGAGATATTTCTGGGTATGAACTTCAAGAACTGACCAACTTCACTAGCTAAGCCCATGCTCATGGGTGAGGGTGAATAATCTTTTTAACAAAAGCTGGTATTGTCCTATCATATGTTAAGTATTTGCTGGCTAGGCTAATAAGTTGTGTTTTTCCTAACTTCCTGGTGGCATTTTTCTGTTATGAAAAAGAACCTGACTTGCTAATGTAAAAATAGGCTATGTAGAATCAAAACAAACCCTTTTTTAGTTGGCAGGAAACCAGGTTAAAATGAATGTCTTCTGTGTCTGCTTTAAGAGATACACAATGACGCTTTGCGTATCGTTCTTAAAGTAGGGATTTTTAAAAGCATTGGAATGGGGAAGCTTTTGGATAGTTATTGTGTGTGTTCTTGAGTCTTCGGATTGACATCAGAATCCTTGAGGCAGTACCTTATGTTTGAATGCTGATGGCTCCTGTTCTCCAAGCCCCTAGCACTGAAGAAATGGAGGCTGAACACAAACTTGTTATGGACAAGCTAAGTGGAACTTGCTTCCACGCCAGACATTCTCACCGCTTGTAGGTTTTCATGGTTAAGGAATTTGACAGTAACTTTTCTAACAGTCCACTCTGGTCTAATTACTTTGGAAATATCAAATACTGTATTGTATTTACAAATAGATGACACTTGCCTGCACTCTTAAATATTTAGCACTAAAATTAAGATGTACCATTATTGCAATGGAAAGTATGATTTTTGATGTATTGTCATTAAGATGCACCTTGTAGCACTTACTGCAGCCATGTAACGCAAAGATACAGGGTGTATGTGTGTAAAACTTTCAGAAATTTTGCAGTGTACAAAGGGGATTTTTACACTGTATTCTAGTAAATAGAAGCAAATACTGAAATTGCCAATACATGAGAAAAAAAAAAAATGCCTGTTTCTTTCTTCTCTTCTGTCAGGTTTGTAAATACTACCTTTGTGGGTTTTGCCCAGCTGAATTATTTACAAATACCCGTTCTGATTTAGGTAAGTCTATAAGTCTTGTAATTTTTATTCACTTATATGTAATTACAATTGAACTTTTGTTGCAAACTACATTGTTACTGTTCATTGCTCTGTCAAAACACTTTGAAAATAGGCTTAATTTTTTCCAAAGGACTGCCAGTGATACAGTATGTTAAGAGCAATATTTATTCCAGATCCTACTACTTCTAAGTGAAAAAAATCTTTTTTTACTTCTTATTTTTTTTCTTACAGTGTCAGCTAAATTATTGGGTATGGGATGGTTTTCTCGTCCTGAAGTGCTGGCTTCTAGTTTGGTTTATTCTACCTAGACAGTGTTTTAGCTTATTTTTGTGTGAGTATACATGTTTGAGGATCTTTACTTTAGAGGCTCATTTACTGTAATAGTTGTTACTGAAGCCCATCTCTCAGATACTAGCACCTTTCAAGCGATGGTACGCGGACAGCGTGTAGTTCGGAGATGGTAACTGGGAAATACAGGCTTCTTGTCTTAGCGTTGATTTCCAAGTCTATTGAAGAGTTTGATAGGCTGGGGAAGGTGGGGAATTTTAACATGATTACCTTCATGAACTTGGGCCACATACCTCCGAATTTTACTCTAAAGACCAGTGTTTTAAGTAGCCAGTTCTTTATTACAAAACACTGTCTGCAGCTTAGAAAATCCTTGCTGAAATTACCCTTCATACCTAATTTTTCTTGTTTTGCTTGAGGTTTATTTTTGTTTGTTTAAGGCCCCAGGTGTTTAAAGTATTATTTTGTTTGTGTAGTTTTACTGAGGTAGAACTTGATCTCGAAATTTTTTTGTATGAAGACTATATGTCATTCAGTCTCCTTTGATTTTATAGTTACTAAACCCTATCAGCATTCTTTTACTTTAATGTGTCTTTCAAACTCCAAGCAAAGGAAGCACAAAGGCATAAAAGTCCCTGGGAAATGTTTATAGCTCTGTTCTGTCATGGTGCATGAACAAATGCTGATGCAATGTGAATACAGCATTCAGGAATGCAAACTTAAACTTTTTGTGTGGTCTTTTTAGGTCCTTGTGAAAAAATTCATGATGAAAATCTACGTAAACAGTAAGTATGTTGGTTGATATGTTAATGCAAATAGTGTTCCTAGTATGCTTGAAATTTTTTAAAAGCAACCCAACCATGAGAAACTAACTGCTTTTTGATTTACGTAAGCATTTATTTAAATGCATAATATTCTCTTACCTTGAGCAAGAATTTGTAACATTTCAAGTTTAGTTATTTATTTTTCATATATAATGGAGTGACATGAGCTTTCATTTTTAAAACATTTTACCAGGTATGAGAAGAGCTCTCGTTTTATGAAAGTGGGCTATGAAAGAGACTTCTTGCGCTACTTACAAAGCTTACTTGCAGAAGTAGAACGCAGGATTCGAAGAGGCCATGCTCGTTTGGCACTGTCACAGAATCAGCAGTCTTCTGGGGTGAGTCTGGAAGAACCGCGGAGGAATTTTTTCCTCTAGATAGTGTCTTCGTGTTCTCTTTACCTTGTGTCTTTGGGTAAAATCTTACTGTTCTCCAGCAGATTCCCATTAGATAAATCTCTTCATCTGTTAGCCAGCAGATTGCATCTCGCCCTAGTGGACAAGCCAAGTGGCTCCACAGTCAGCAGGAGTCCTCCTCTGTTCTCCCTGTCTGTGTTTCCTCAGAACTGGTATCTGTTCTCCTCTCTGAACACTAATCCTGTCAAGTGTTATCTTTACCCTGTTAACCTTAGTTTACTTTCTCTTCCTTAGTTGCATATTCTTCTTTCCCTCCACTAGTAAGCTGTATCACAGTGATGTTACTGAAGTCGTCAAGTCCTGGGTGTCTCAGCAGCTGATGGAGCTGAATCCCGCTGTCAGCTGCCACCCTTAGGCAGGAGTCAGCCTCTTGCTGCTCCAGCACCACCGTTGGCAGGCAGTGATGGAATCACAAAAGTTTGAGAAAGAAGTACTTCTGTGCAACTCTTCTCAGTTACAAGCTGTATACTAGACAGCTGTTAATAGAAAGCTTAAACTGACTGGGAGAAAAAATCTACATGCTTACTCCACTCTTTTTTTTTTTTTTTTCTTGTCCCCTGATTGATTTGAAGCAGTGACTCTAGCCTGTGCTCTGAGAGTTTTGTGGCTGCTGGTGTAGCTTTGCTGCTTTTTGCTGCTTCAATTAATTGTTCAGTGCAAAGTCCAGTTTCTTCAGAAGGAGCTGTGGAGAGTATCTTCAGCCAAGAGAGCTTAGTGGCTGTGGAGTGGAGCAGAGGTTGTGGGGAGGCAGATGTAAGTCTGTTCTGGCAGCTTATGGAGAGGACATTACTAACAAGTGTATTTTGGATGAAGTGAGATTCTTTTTGCATTTATGCTCAGAAGTTGAATTTCAGAGCCCACAGAATTTCTAAGTCGTACTTGAGTGTCTGCAGAGATACGTAATTGCTGCATAGCAGTTTCAGAGTTTAAATTTAGGACTTTGAATTCAGATGTCTTGCCTTTTATGGGCCAGGGCCTTGAACGATTTTGTTGATTTAGGAGGAATTAGTGTGACTAGAGCTTGCTTCGCTCAGCAAGAGTGGAGTAAGCTGTGTTGAGAAGTGTTTTACTTCAGACTAGACTATTACTAGTAGGTCTTCATGGGAGAAGAGGCAGGAGAAGGTTATTCCTGAAGTGTCTGTGGAATATGAGAAGACATATATTTGTGTGCTTTAAGGTTACTTTCAACAAAACAAAAAAAAAATCACTTACACTGTTCGGCAGGGAGCGGGACCTACCGGTAAAAATGAAGAGAAGATTCAGGTGTTAACTGACAAAATTGATGTACTTCTACAACAGGTGAGGTTTTTTTACCCCCCCGTAAGAGAGATCTCTTGCTTTTGTTACTTGATTAAAAATTATAGTTGAATTTTTTTTTTGTCTTTTAGATTGAAGAACTAGGTTCAGAAGGGAAGGTGGAGGAGGCACAGGGAATGATGAAACTTGTTGAACAGCTAAAGGAAGAGAGAGAATTGCTGAGGTCTACAACTTCAGTAAGTAATATGCTTGTAGTTCGGTCAGACTTACTTCAAAATTTGGTCTGACAGTGCATTCTCAATAACCTTGTCCTTGCACTGAAGGTATGCAAGTTCTGTGCAGAATTTATTAGACAGTAACATGACATTTAAATGTGTTATTCCAGTGTGTTGATTTAGCATGCTACCTTGAGAGTGGGTTTCCTCCTGCACACACGTTATGAAATTATTTACACAGCAGTGTTGGAGGTGAGCTTACATCTTACTCTAGTTCAGGTCTCAGTTACTAAGTTTTGCCAGGTAGCCTCTGCAATATTATTTCACCGAATTAGCAATATGACTGTATTACAGCAAGACCTTGTTTTAGGGCTGTGACTAGAGACAGGCATCTGTCTGACTTTGAGAGCTACAGAAGCCAAAAGTAATGTGTTAAATAGCAAGTTCCTGTCAACAAAAAGGAGCTTATATTTAGACATTGTATTTCAGTGTTTAATAATATGTTCAAGTTGTGCTTTCTGTTATTCCTGTCAACAAAAAGGAGCTTATATTTAAACATTGTATTTCAGTGTTTAATAATATGCTCAAATTGTGATTTCTGTTTTATTTTTTAAGTCCTTAAACATTGCAGGCAGTAGTGTTTGTGTCCATACTGTATGATTCATGAACATTGCACAGCAAAAATCACTTGGGTTTATGGTGAAATTCCAGTGTATTTCTCGTATGTCTGTTGAAACAGTGAATTAATTTCACTACTATCCTTTTAAATAGAGGCTCAGTGTTCCTTTTTGCATTTCTTCATTCCTTGAGGTGTACTCCATGGTTATTCTGCAGCTCCAGACATCGGGGTTGATGCCAAAGAAATCATCTTAAGAGAGAGCGGATTGTTATTTCCTTAATCCAGAGACTGCAAAGGAAACTGCAGATATGGTTATATACGTATTAATACTTTGCAGTGAGGAAGAAGATTTGTGTTGTGTGTTCTCTAGTTGACTCTTTCCTTGTGGCGTACATGAAATGGGTGTATGTAGCCCATTTTTGCTGTGTTGTCCTAGTAGGTGCAGTGTTCCGAGGACAAAGCCTGCAGTTATGATTTTCAGCTTTTGCTAGTGCCTAGGATTTGACAACAGTAACGATAAAGGTCTAAACCTCTTAACTGGCTTCTGGCTAAAACTTTTATTTTGCTTTATGGAATATTTTTCTTTTGCAGACAATTGAGAGCTTTGCTGCCCAAGAAAAGCAAATGGAAGTTTGTGAAGTTTGTGGAGCCTTCTTAATTGTAGGAGATGCACAATCCAGGGTAGATGACCACTTGATGGGAAAGCAGCACATGGGTTATGCCAAAATAAAAGCTACTGTAGAAGATTTAAAAGTAAGTATCTCTTCTGTTATTGAACATGAAAAATTGCTTGGAGGCTTCCTATGGTAAACAAAAGGCTGTCCAGTGGACTTTCTCAAGTGGGTGAAATACTCCAAAGATGGCATATAAAAATTAAATGGAATCCCACTGCACATTAGTGCTGTGCTTGCATGGACATTCTTTGTCGTATGTGATTACACTAGATGTAAGCGAAGATATAAATTCACATGGGAATTTTTGTGGCCTTTGTAAAGAACTGTAGTGTGGCCTCTGTTCTTGTGAGAATGACAAGCAAAAAAGTTCTGCAAGACAAAGGATTTGTGTTTCGGGGATTTTAGAAGGTGCTTCTATGTAGGCCATGCTTTGTTTGGGAGAAAACCCTGAAGTATTTTAAAAGCTTAAGCTTCTACATCCTTGGAATTGTATTGAATTATCTATCTTGATTAATCTTCATTTCTTTGAACTTTTCTTTAGGAAAAGTTAAGAAAAAGAACAGAAGAACCTGACCGTGATGACAGGTTAAAAAAAGAGAAACAAGAACGAGAAGAACGAGAAAAAGAGCGGGAACGGGAAAGAGAAGAGCGGGAAAGGAAGAGACGACGTGAAGAAGAAGAAAAGGAAAAAGAGAGGGCTCGTGATAGAGAGAGACGTAAAAGGAGTCGTTCACGGAGTAGACATTCAAGCAGAACATCTGACAGAAGATGCAGCCGTTCACGAGACCACAAAAGATCGAGAAGCAGAGAAAGAAGGCGAAGCAGGTACGTGTTTGTGTGTGTGTGGAAATATTTTCATTTAACTTACCAAAATGTAAAAATCTTGTGGGGACTTGATCTGTCAGCATGGGCCACATCACTGATTTGTTAGCTTTGTTGTTCTTATCTCTTAAGTGAAGACGTACTTTACTGTTTCTAAGGATAAGGAAGTTTTGCTGCGTATTTACTGTTTTCTCTCCATTTTTGGAAGCAGATGACACCATTGTGATGGAAGTGGTCTTATGAGGGAGCTATGAGTAGACAAATGCTCCCAAAGAACAGGATCTTGTTTTTTTTCCCGAAGTTGGTCTTTAATTCTTAGTGGTGGATATTTTTAAGCTGTGTAGTTGAACATTTTGCATAAATGAAGAAGGCAATATCAAGCCAGGTCTTAGATACTGAGAAATGTTTATATATAGTATGCTAAGGCTTGTTTTAAATACTTGTTTTTGGCAAATAATCAAAGTATTGGAAAGTGCTGTTGTTTTACTGTTTTATCTTCTGAGTTAGAAAATAAGAGCTGACATCTCCCTTCTTGAAATTTTCTCTGAACGTTAAGGAGTCGTGACCGAAGAAGAAGCAGAAGTCATGATAGGTCAGAAAGAAAACATAGGTCTCGCAGCAGGGACAGGAGACGATCAAAAAGCCGTGATCGGAAATCCTACAAGCACAGAAGCAAAAGCAGAGAGAGAGAACAAGACAGGAAGTCAAAAGAAAAAGGTATGTTTGTGTGAAGACTGAGTTTGTATCGAGTTCTGAAACTGAGCTTTCCCTAAAGTCTCAGAAGCTCTTAATCTTTCAGTGAGTGACTTCAAAGTTCTTCTTAGCATCAAATCAGATCTGGTTTTATAAACTTGTATATGGTGCTGTTAACCAATTTGAAGCATTTTGTTCGTTCCAGTTATTGTTAATGCACTTGTGTGCATAGCTACACCCCACTGTCCACCTCATATCTGTTACAGTAGTTATTAAAAGCCTACCACTTTGTCTGCAAATCAAGTGTACAAGGATTTTGATGTATTATAAGACCTGTTTACCTTTATAAAAACATAAGCCTGTAATCAGATTTTCGTAAGAGTGAATATCTTTTATTCCTTCTGTTAGCAGATACTTCTGTATATGTGTTTCGTGGGAGACTGGTAGCTGTGTTTTTGCCTGTACCATCTATTACTTCTCTTACACTATCATGTTTCCTTTATTTTCCTTTAACAGTGCTTTTAAGTTGTTTTCTTTTTTTTTTTCTAATCTATGAATGCAGTCCAAGATAAATCTTGCAGAATTTCTGTAATGCTCTAAATTGCAATTTCATGCCCTTTCTCCAATCTCCTGCTCTTCTCTCCATCCTTCCCCCTTGATTGGGGTTTTCTGTGTGTGTTTGTTTTTTTTTTTTCCAAATGAAGTGAGATTTGCTCTGTCAGTATTCAGGTGAGTCTCAAAGGAGTGCTGTGTTAGTCCTTGGAACACTTCATAGCACTACGTGCTGTGTACAACAGCATTGATGATGGTGACTCACTGCTTCATCAAAGGCTGGTGTTCAGAAGCTTTACCTTTAAATAGGGTAAAAAAGAGCTACACTGCAGACTGACATTCTGTGAAAAGATACTAATTCACTGTTATTGCTAAATTTCCCACTTTGAAAGTCTTTTGAAACTTCTAGAGGAATGTGATACTAACTGCTGGCTTCAGCTGCTGGCTCTGTTGGGGTGCTGACTAATAGTCTGAGACGGCCACCCCACTTTATTTTTAGAGCTGACCGTCAGTAATGGATGAAACAATTCTGTTACGTTTCTAAGGTACTTTTGAGGTTCTCTGGAACAAAAGATGCTATGTGCATTTTTCTGGATTGCATACGCCCTACCCTTACTTTTTCCATATTTTTCCAGCGGATTAGTTCTCAAAACATTGATAATGTTTCATGTATTTTTTCTTGCCTGACTTCCTTGGACTGTTTTAATTTTTCTGATTTAAACTGTGGTGCATCGTTAGTATTGATGCGTCCCATTTTGCTTTGCTCTCTATGAGCGAGTGGGTTTTAACTGCTTGCTCATTGGCAGTGGAACTGATGCCTAGTGTTTAAACTCAGATTCAGTATTGTAGCTTATATCTGTCCATTTTTTACTTTATTCCTACTTGATAATTGTGCCTTTTTTGCCTACTTTGTGAACACATTTCTGGTACTTAGTCAAGAATGTTCTATTCAGTATTCTGTCTGTATCTGTGCGTATAAATAACCGTGTTCTTATTTATTCAAATTTTGTCTGTTTTTGAGTTTAATGGCTTTTCAGTTCTTTCCTTAATACTTCCAAAATAGAGGAGCTAGTGAACTTTCTTCAGCATCTCAGTATTTTCTGTTTTAATTTGACTGATTTCCTTGCTGGCTGTTTTATTTGCTGCTTGCTACTTTCTTCCTCCAGAAATGAGAACAGTGAGGTGATGCTATGAGCTGGGATGAAAATTTCACCCGGGAAAATCAGTTACTTTTTTTGACTATGTAATTGTAACACTTGTAGAAACATAAATAGGCCTTGGAGAAGGACTGTAATGCTGAAGAACTTTAGGTTTTTTCCCTTTGCTGGGAAAATCTTAAGTTAAAAAAAACGATGGGGAAAAAAGGAAAAAACCAAACCAATAGTATTTAACAAGCAAGCATTGGATTTCTGTGATGAAGCTGTAAACACCATTCCATCCTCACGTTTGCAGTGCAGCATTGTAGGTCGGTAGTTAAGTGGATGGCTTTAAAGGTTTATATATCTGAAGTGTGTGGCTGGCTACATGCTCTCCTGTTTGCACAAAAAGAAGTAATGTAGAAGTTAAGTCTTAACTTATTACGTTTACTGCTCCATTGGGAATGCTGGCTTCAGAATCTAACTGTCGTTACACACACCACTGATCTGCCATTATGAAAGCAAGCAGCAAAGGCCTGGCTGTAACTACTCATTGGTAGTGCCTTTCATCTTGAAATCTCAAACTGCTGTATAAACATGAATCTTAACAGGAAACAAAGCAAGGCACAGTTGCTCAAGGCTTGCATACTGTTGCACATTAAATTGGTGCCATACTTTGAAAATTCAGAAGCCCTGGCTTCTTGTTCACTAAAATACTGTGGAATACAGTGACCTTTAAGATTGTAAGAAAAAAATGTATGTAAAAATACACTTAATTTCCGACTCAGGTTTCAGGAACAGGGATACACTTGCTAACGGAGGGAGCCACCAGCCATAAACACCAGATGAGCATTAGCTTAATGTAAACCAGCAGAACGCAACTACTGTTCATGTAAACTTAACTTCAGAATAGGTGGAATAAATAGCGGGCTTTTTTTTAAGAATTAAAGAGCTGTTCTGCAAGTACCTTCATTTTATGAAGGGTTAATTCTGGAACATGCCTCCAGACCACTTTAACTTGGCTCTTTACCTTCCCTAATCAGATTTCATATACTTATATAAAAATAATTGTATTTGTGATTGTGTTTTCATGTTGGTGATTAAACCTCAGCAAATACTGTCAGAACACCTAAACCCTCCGTACTACTGGATATTATGTTTGATTGAGTTTTGCATTCTCTGAACAGTCAAACCGTTCACATTGTCTTGGTAAGAATTCTCACGAAATGTATCTCAGTTGCCCACACGAACTCAATAAGAAAAATGTGCATGTGTTGAATCAGGAAGTAAAGTCAATATTATGTGATTATACCTAATAGATCACAGCTGAAATAACATACAGTTTCAACAGCAAACTAATGGTATGTGCTTTTAAAGAAAGAAATCTTACTGATTGAAAATACAGTGGAGGAACCTAACTGCTTGCAGATACTCCAGGAGTTGAAAGAAATTCAGTTATTGGAATATTTGTTGAATACACTTTCTCAATTCTGCTTGGCACATTGGAGGTTTGCTATGGTAAACCTACTTTATCATTAAAGTTTTTGGAAGAGCTTCATCTTCCATACCACAGTTTAATAGTAGTTTTTTAACCTTAAACAAAATTATCCTTCCTGACCAAATTGAAGAAACAAACAAGACAGAACAAAACCCTGCACACTGCACATCCATAGGGCTATTAAGATCTACCATATCTACATAGGACAGAAGATAAGATTATTGGACTGACTACTAGTCCTCTGCGGGGAAACAAGACTACTATTCCTCAGTGGATCTACGTGTGCATCGGAGATACCTATAAGACACAAAAAGAAGACTTTTTAACAAGGTTAGTTAGAGTGCAATCTACCTGCGGAGTTGCAAAACTGAGGGCAGACAGATACAAAATTATTAGTTCTTCAGTTAGGTTTTTGACATCGCGGCGTGCTTTCTCCAAGCACCGTGCACTGGATGTGCTGCTTCAGCTGAACCCTCAGGAGCGGTGTTCATCAGGCAGTTGCCCTCATTTCTGTGTGGCGGCTTTACCCCTCCTTTTGGTGGTCTGTCTTAAAGCAAAGAATTCGGGATGTTGCCTCTCTTTTAAAGCTTAATTTCTACTTTGTGTTCTGGAATATGAAAGTGTATTATGCCAGTGTAGGTGATAACTTTATTTAAAATAGCTTTTTCAGAGTGTTTGATCTGTGTGCTCCTGTGTTGAGGGGAGATATATATATATATTTATATTATTTATTTTAATTGCCCGAATAGAAGGGAATAGTCAGAAAAAAGAGCATGAATGTTGTTCTGTATGATGACATCTGAGAGGTTGGTTTTTTGGATTTTTTTTTTTCTTTCCAAAGTGTCTTTACTGATCAAAGGTTGAATATTATAGTGTGAAGTAATACAGAAGGAATTGATACTTTTATTAAATCTGCAAATACTGAATTTAGGGATGAGGCATGCAGCTCTAATACTGAATGTATTTCTTCCCGTGGAAATAATTTTTGCTTCTGGCTTCCTTTCTTCTTTGAAGGTCATTGAACAAAAGATGACTTTTTCAGCAGTGTAACAAACTTGTCAGTCAGCTTTCCAATTCATGGTGAAATTGTGGGGTCTTTCCCACCTTGCTGTTCCTTTGCCTTTGGAAAATAGTACTTTTTACATATTCCCAATTTAATGAGTGGATTATAAATGACTGCTGCTTTTATAAAATTGAAAATTAATAATGCTGACAAGCATGCAGCTTCTGTGACATGCTGTACAGTAAAGTTAACTTTGATTGTCACTGTGATCCCCACCTTCCAAGCTAGTGGTGCTTAATACTGTTCATTTCCCCAGTTACTGGATTATTTGGGGTTGCTAGTTTTTTTAATTGGCAAGTATTGATTTATTTGATAATGCACTGATGCATTGTCAGATCACTTTTTTCTGATTCTGTTTTCAAGAACCATATCTAATGAGTATTGTAAGCCAAAGAAGGCCATATATGTCATAAATTAAAACCTGGGGACAAAGAGAGTCCCACGATAAGTGAGGAAGCCACGCACCATAATTGCACATTTGCCTAACTTCTCAGCTGCCTCTTTACCCCCAGTTTGTGCATTTCCAGACAGCTGAGTAGCTGCCTTTGGTAGGAGGTCTGTCCTTTCTCCTTTTTTCCCCACCCTGTACTGTCCACTTTGACCTTTTTTTGTACCTCTCTGTTCCAGCATGGTAGTCGGAAGCCTATTTCTGTAATTTGAGGATTACTGTTACTGCTATAGAAAGTAATTGTCCCATTTTGTATGCAATATATATCTCACATGTGCAATGTTTGTTTTTATTTTGAAATCCATGGTCAATGTCTTCTTTCATGGCAGAAAAGAGGGGATCTGATGATAAAAAAAGTAGTATGAAGTCCAGTAGTCGAGAAAAACAGAGTGAAGACACAAATACAGACTCGAAGGAGAGTGATACTAAGAATGAGGTCAATGGGACCAGTGAAGACATTAAATCTGAAGGTGACACTCAGTCCAATTAAAACTGATCTGATATGACCTCAGATCAGACAGAGGTAAGTGCATTATTTCAAACTTTGATTAGGGCTTTTTGTTACTGTTTAACAGTGCAGCGTAAGTATGCACAGATGAAGATGGAACTAAGCCAAGTAAGAAGACATACTAGAGCACCTTCTGAAGGAAAAGACAGTGTAGTCCTGCAAAACATTTTGAGGTACATTGTTTTGTCTCAGCTATTTTGTAGCAGACTCGTGCCCCCCATTAGTGTGCCTCTTTGGGACATATTTGTAATATAGTCACCATAGAAAAATTAATTATCCTTTTTTATTTTTAGGGATTTTGTTATCGTTTTTTTAAAAAATTGAACTGTTTTTGTATTTAAGTCCATATTGTGTTGGTACATCAGCAGAAACTTTTGCTTTAATACTTAATATTTGAGGCACATGTTGGACTACTTTGTTTTCATATAAACTGCTAGTATTTCTTTGTCAAGGATGTTTCTAGTTTTTTTGCTTTATTGCCTTGCATTCTAATGCAGTTTGTTCTGTAACTCGAGAGCCAGTAGCATTGGATTGATGGAAGTGTAGGGTTTATGAATTATTGCAGCTGACTACCATACCTCACACAGCGTTGGTGTTGTGAGCGGCCCATGAAAAGCCAAATTAAAAATCAAGGATTCAGTCAAACTAAGCAGGTACTCATGCCAGGTACTCCTTTCTCTACCCACATCCATGTTTGAATGCTGTTGCCTGTAATCTTAAAGCTTACTGTTGTGTTTTTGATTTTCAAGATAGTGAAAAGGACTTTTTGTGTATTGTGTGAATACTGTAAATCTGATGTTAACAGAATGGAATTTTCTTTCAACTGTGTGTAGGGATGCAGTGCTGCCCAGAATTAGATATCTTTAAAGAGTTTAAAATGCAATAAACACTACATAATAATCGCCTTGTAACTTTCAATGCAATTCAAGTCTTTAAGAGGTATGTGTTTAATATTTCCTACTGTGTAGGAGCATTTGCAGTCAGCCATAGTACAGAGAAGTGGAATGGCTGATAACAGGCTTCTAAGGCAAATGTAAATGCAAAGACAGATGCCACCAGATGCTTACAGTGTTCATGGCAAGAGTGTATGCTGAAAAACTGTTTGTTGAAATGAAACAGATAAACAATAGGAAATACAAATACTGTATGAAAAGGAAAACTTGCAGGTTTTTTCCCCACTCTTGACGTAGCTTTCTTACTCTTACAGAAGGTCTTTAGTTGTATTCCTGAAATAAGGAACTAACAATGGAGAGTACAGCTGATAAATGAGCTTCTTGCAACATAAATTGTTACTGTAGTTTCATTATTTACGCTAGGAACTCTTCCACACTTAATGTTGATTGTTAAACCATTCATGCTACATTATTGCTTCTAAAGACAGTCATGTTCAATGTTGACACTTTGTAGAGTTAAGATGACAGCTAACAACTGGGCCAATGTGTAGGAATGGTAAACAAAATGCTCTCAATGCTGTCTAATTGTCTGTTTTCCCAAAATTTTGCATTATAGGACTACTACATGAAGAGTCTGCGAAGACAGCGGACGACAGCTTAAACTGAAGATCTGCTTTAAAATGAGGTGAAAGAAAGCTGTAGTGGCGTAGAAAAATATAAAGTTGAGTTAGAATTTTTTTTTTTTATAAAATTTAATTCAGGACTGGTGTTTCCTCCCAGAGTTCAGAAAGATGTGTTGATAATAGCACATATGCTACTGAGAATATAAGTCCTGTATCCTTTTTTTCTCTTAAGACTTTTTAAGATAAGAAACCAACATAACCTGAACACATGGCTTGCTCAGTGTTAAATTGCAAGTTTTCATTCTTGGACTTTAAAACACAAGAATAAATGTTTAGTATTTGTGTGAATCGAACTAAAATGAATCCCATTTTTACAACTAAGCTATTCCTAGCTTCTTGATATACGAGAAATGGAAATAAAGTATCTTTGAATTTCTGTTACAAATTTGATTGTCTCTGTCATTGAACGTTTAATATTAAATAAGTTTCTTTCCTAATAAATCTACTCATGTCTTCAAGCTTAGTCCATTAATTTGGATGTTTAGTTATTCTGTGGTGTTTGTGGGTTTGGTTTTTTTTGGTGCCGTTGGTTAGTATTTCATTTCGAGCTTACTTTTTCAGCAGTCAGACGGCCGTTGGATTCTGTGTCCCCTAAAACGTGCAGCTTATGCTGCAGTGGGTTAAGAAATTATAGAAATCGTAGAGTAACAATGTGGGCCCTAAGCAGTTAGACTTTTACAGCATTATCAGAAAGATGCCACTGCTGAGAGTGGCCATCAGGCTGCCTTGATATTTGCGTGGTAGTATCAGTTTGTAATATTAATTAACAACTATATGCAGTTGGTAAGTGTGCACAGCCTGCATGTTACAACAGATACAGGGGAGGTGAGACATCCCTTATGCTTTCTTACGAAGCTGTAGCGCCAGCAAGCCTAGTTCTGTTGGAAAAGAACTGCTGTGTGTGCTGTTCAGCAGTAGAGACAGTGGAGTGTACTTGAGTGCTGGTGCTGCAAGGCATTGAATTTACCTTCTTAAAGTATCGTCCTTCGTGGTAGTATTCAGGACATGACCATACAGGTAACTGAGGTCATACTTGGGCAGAGCACTGTTGTAACTTGCTACTTCTGATTGTGGCGTGCCTCGTATCGTCTGTCTGTGGAAGTGCACTCACAAAAGGACCTGCATGTTGGTCCCTCTGGTGAAGTGCTGGTTTTTGATGAGGAGGGATACCACATGCAGACACCCCAGTTCCCTTTTTGACTTTTGTTCTAAAGCAGACACCCATGCGGGGCACAGAGGATTGAAACTGGGTGGTCTGTTTTTTCTTTTGGAGAAACCTAACGAAAAATACATGTGAGAGCAAGTAATAACTAAGTTCTAATTGCGGACATTGCATGAACACCTATTCCTTTTGAAACTTGTGTGCGAGACATGATTCATCTACTGCCTGGACCTGTTGCTTCTCTTCGTGGCTCAAATGTTTCTCTTGCACCTTCCACTGCACATCTTTGTTACAGGTCTAGCACTGTCCCATCCTATTTAAGTGAGCACTTCGTATATGCTTTCGCCATATTGGTTTTGGCAGCCTGACAGTCGTCTTCTAGGTGTTAAAAATGTACTGGTCCGTGTCAAAGTTGTGTTAGAATTTTAAGAGCGTCCTGTCCATGCTGGAGTGCCGTGTATCACCCCCTCACCCCCTGAAAAAGGAAGAGATAGATCTAGGTACTTGAAACAACGGAGACTTTAATATAAGTGAGGAGTAGCAATGTCAGTTCAGTACAAGTTGGTAGTGCAAACAAAAGTTGTCCGTGGAAGAACAGCAAGTTCTGTAAACTTAGTTTCAGTTGTCGTATCAAGGGTTTATTATTCAAAGGAAAAAAAAACAAAACCAAAAAACAGTTAACTAGTGTGCCTTAGAGTTTATCAAACTGCATAAAACATACAAAAATATTTCTCTGAATGCATAGACTTACTGTTGTTATTACAGTCAGATCATGATTACAGTTTTAGTCTTATCACATTAACAGTTATTCTTTGTGGAAAACAGAGCAAATAAAGCTTTTCTAAACCAGCTGCTCCTATGGCTGGATGTTCAGTAATTAGCAGAGGCAATCTTTACACAGATTACCTGAACACAGGAACCGAAAAGGAATTATTCTGAATTTTGAACCATTTAACTACTACTGCTTTTCAAACAGTTATTGCACAGAATCTGAACTAGCCTCCAAGCTATGCTGGGAAGATAAATACTGTTAAAATAAAAACTCCTTTCCTGTCCTATAAGGAAAACAAAGCGAGAGCCGTAGTTAGGAAATCTTACTTCATACTGCGTCACAGTCTTGAGCTTACCAGGAGGTGCATCGGGCGTTACAGCAGCCCAGCTCCTGGAGAGAGAAGGGCCAGGATTGAGAACACTGGCAGAGTTCAAATGATAAGACGGCTACAGAGCAAGGGGCAGAGGATGATAATTATTCTGAATGCACTAAGCAAGAATTTTAAGCCTAGACTAACTTGGTAAAACCTTGAACCCAGAGTCAAGCGTCTCTTCCGCTGGCAGCAGGCGTTGCCGTGTTCTCTGACATGCATGCTTTTGCTGTCCTTGCTTGGAGGAGCCACTTGAAGGACAAAGCAGCTGTGCTGCAGGAAGCTAAGACCGGGGGCAGCCATGCTGCTCCTGCCGAAACACTATTTATGGTCTGAATGTCAGCATTACAGTCCGGACCAACAACAACAAACACTGCCTCAGCTGTGCACAAACTCGGCTCCAGTGCAGCTTAATAAAGCAGAGATGGCAGGAAAATCA